CCAGTTATCACCAGTAAACCGCCATCTGGTCCATTAGCGGTAAGGGCTACAAGTCCATCTCAGCAGCAACAGCAGCAGCAGCAGCAACAACAACAACAACAACAGCAGCAGCAGCAGCAGCAGCAGCAACAATCACAACAACCACCACCACCACCACCACCACCATCACAGACTAATAGTTCGACAATGCAACAATCTCCACCGGAACCCACGGTCGATAAAATAACTACTGCTTTTAAGAAGTCTACTTTAAATCCAAATGCTAAAGAATTTAATCCAAATGCCAAACCATTTACGCCGGTAAGTAACATATATTACTTGTTTGATGTAAAATCGACTAGAAACAATAAAAATTGTATTTTTCCTATCTGTAGCGTTCACCTAGCACACCAACGCCTAGTCGGCCACATACACCACAGACCCCACAATACACGGGGGCAACTATGCCCGCGACCGTTGTTATGCCGGCATACGTAACGCCTACAGCGTTCAGTCAACCACCTGCTCAACAAGTGGCAAGGTTCCGAAAGGGTTAGTATTCTCTAGGCATTCGCGATACGTGTTTTGTATCTCGAGTTGCCTTATATATTTATGCATGTTCATACGATTCAGTTCATAAGATTCGGTATTTAAATCAATATAAAAATATCAATATAAAAATATTTTTTAATATTACATTAATTAATAACACATAAATTTGAAAAGTCCTGTCAAATAATATTTTTACATCTGTATTTTTGAAATTACTTGTTCTTTCAAAGTATTGTAAGCTCAATTATAATTCTTTTTTTCTATTCCTCTGCTGATTAATACAATTAATGTATGATGTATAAAACGATTAAATAACATGAGGTATTATGATTTTTATAGTGCCGATGATGCAGCACCGTGCGCCAGATATAGCTTCTCAGATGCAAGTGGCTGCAGCAACAGGGCAGCCATTATTAGCGCCAGCTCTACATCCATTCCAGGTGCCTTATCCAGGACAGCCGACATACCAACAAATGGTACGGATGGTCCAGGCACCGCCTCCACCGCACATGGCCACCCCGTATCATCATCATCATGATTCACAAGGACCGCAAGCCCCTGGTATACAATATATGGGCCCACACCCACATCCTCACGTAGCTCAACAGCCACCTAGCCAAACTCCATCCCCAGCTAATCCAAATCAACCACATACACCGGGCGCTTATAATCCACCGGGTACTCCACAACCTACATATCCGCAACCTCCACCGCAAGGTCACGCCCCGAGTTATCCGATTATGTGCCCTATAATTCCATCCCATATACCGTCAATTCCACCACAACATATGCAATACCTGCCACCACAGCCGCCTCCAGGTGCGCAACAAACCATACCCGTTATTTTACCGCACAATCAGTAGCCGTGACATAAAATAAATGAAGAAAAGGAAGATCGCTAGTATTCTGAAAAGATAGAATAAGATATTCGAAATTGAGTTACTTTCATGATGGCATATCGATTACTGGCAGAACCGTTCGTTTCAATTATACGCTCCTGATTTAGTCGATCGATCGTTAATCATGTTGGTTAAGCGATAATCGTCAATCATTTATGTTGACGAGCAGTTGGAAATTATTTCGCGTACAGTTTTATTGCGATGTGAGTAAAAACAAAGGGTGTTCTTTTCAGTCAGATAATCGATGTAACGCAACGGAGCAATGGTATTCCGAATGTACTTTAAACGACTCGAGAGTGTTAGACCATCTTGAAAGTAACTTGTTATTCAAATATAGGTCGATCGTCGAGTGACCTATGCCTGTATTATCGAGTCCTTAAAAAATTTCGTTGATTATTTTAATCAAGTTTTATTTTAATCAAGTTTAAAACTCTGAAATGATAGTTTATCATTACGTAACTTTGCAAAATTACAATTGGTTCACTTTTATCGGATTAGTACGTGTGTCGAACATAGAGAAAAATTCAACGACTTTTTTGATCGTGCATTTTTATCGAGTAGTGCTCAATGTATCGGAAAATATGGGGGACCGCTCATTAAAGACATTTTAAATTCACAAATTTCAATCCTCTAATACAAACACAGCTTGCACTACTTTGCCAAGTAACAGCCAAAATTCAGCGGAAAAACCAGATAATCACGCAAGTGATTCATTTTTCTTCTCTCTCTCTCTCTCT